TCGGTGCAAATATACTCAATAATATCTCTAACCTCCTGTTCATTGAGGGATTCTCTAGGTCTCCCTGTGCGTGTAGGGCGCGCTCTTTTAGGCACATCGTATAGTAGGATCTTCCTAACTGTGCTGTCTCCTAGGTGGTAGTAGCCCTGGAGCTGTTGCAGGCCTATTTTAGCGAATTTAAAGAGCCGGCGTATGCCCTCTTTGTGCTTGGTTCTGATCTCTGCACCTAGGAGACGTGGAGACATAGGTGGAGTGGTAAAAGGATCCATAATGGTGGAGTTGTTGATAGTTTAGTCCTAATGTGAAGAGTTTTAATTTCGAGGTTCTACAGCCTGAACGCACGGACTTTTGTCCCCATGTTCGTTAGAAAGCACATACTAGGCATCTTTCCTCAAAGCTTACGGGCGGAACTTGGGACATGTTGGTCGCACTTATGAAAGTATGAAAAGCAATGGTTGAAAAGTCAAAAAAGCTCAAATTTTGCTATAAATCTAACTAAGTCCTCGACGCCGCTCCCAAATCCAGCACTTGTTTGCTTCAAGACTACACCAACTCTTTAGTAATGAACCAGCTGTTCAGCAATGCACCAGCTATCCAGCAATACACCAGCTGTTCAACAATGCACCAGCTGTTCAGCAAAGCACCAGCTTCTCAGTCCAGCATCCCGCAGCTGGTGCTCAAAAGTAAAGCATAAAGAAGAGAGTTGAGGGCGAGAAAAGATTTTCACTTAAGGGGAAGGGGTTGTGGAGCAGCCTAAGCTCAATAAAAAGGGCCTAAGCTCAATAGAGAGGGCCTAAGCTCAATAGAGGGTGCTCGGGAGTGCTCGGGGTTTCAGAAATGAAGGTATCCACAATCTAGCCGAGAAGATCGGAGACTCTTAATTAAGCTTAGACTACTTCACAGTCATTGCCTTTTAAGTGAAAATCTTTTCTCGTCCTCATTCCTCATCCTTTTCTATCACTTTTGAAGCAATGCTACTGCATTTTGAGATACAGTTGCATTAGTTGGTGTATTTCTGGACAGCTGTTGCATTGTTAGACAGCTGGTGCATTGCTGGACTGAGAAGCTGGTGCATTGCTGAACAGCTAGTGCATTGCTGAATAGCTGGTGCATTGTTGAACAGCTGGTGTATTGCTGGACAGCTGGTGCATTGCTGGACAGTTGATGCATTGCTGGACTACTGCACTCTGAGATACAGTTGCATTGCTAGACAGCTAGTGCATTGCTGAGAAGCTGGTTCAGAGCTGCTATAGTGCTGAGATGGATATCCTGAATCTAGCACTAGGACTTGAGAGATTTAGGGCCTAGAACTTAGTTTTAAGAGCAATTGCAATGTTTTTTGACCCTTTGAATCATTCATACTATTGTACTTTCATAAGTGCGACCAACATGTCCCAAGTTCCGCCCGTAAAAGCTGCCTCAATCAAGCTAAAAGATCAACATGCACAGTTTTACTAGTTCAAAACTCTCAATATTATAAGTGTCGGGTCCTTCCTCATCGTTGATGCTTGCATTTTCGGCACGTCCACTGCCCTCCACCTAGCTAAGAACGTGCCAGGAATACAAATCAATTTGATTGACAAAGCGACATTTCCAAAGACAAAGAGCGCTCTCGTCGATATCAATAAGATAATTCGCACCACTACGCAGGTATTCTCTATATACGCTCCGCAACCAAGGCAGTACTCAAATGGAAGTTAGAGAAACTGCACTGGCAGTTCTATCATCCTGCGGAGCATTTATACATTAAGAGTGGTGGCCAGGAGGGCCAAGTCCTGGAACAATGTGCCGATCTGGGTGTCAAAATGGCATGATGATGAGTGCTCAGCCAGAACTGCAGAAGAGAGACCCATAATTGTTCACGTGCATCGGCTACCAAGAGTTGGAATGCTTTGTTATAAGACCATTGAGTGGGTGGGTTGATGCCACATCACCTCTGACTACCATGGTTGAGCGTACAGTGAGCAAAAGGGTGAAGTACTTTCAAGCTGATTTTCATAAGCTCAATTTTTACGGGTACGGAAACTGTAATGGAGTTCATACACTGGATGGAGAGAAAATTCTTGCGCAGAATATAATCATTGCTACCGCTCCGGAAACAGGGGAGCTTTAGCTGTGAAGGCTTCGCGTTCAAGAACGAAAACAGAGTCTTAAGTGCTGCTATTGTGCCAGGCAATATCAAGGTTACAGATTCTCGGGTACAGTTATTTTAGGGTGTGCTAATCTTTTTACACGATGTTAGTAGTGTCGATAGGAAATATTTTCTACCTTTTGATTTATGGGATCTGATGTCGTCCCAAGATGAGTGCTGCCTCTGAAAAAGCGGCAGATCCTCAGAATCACCAGCGAGAAAGGCTTCAAAAACGCGGTTCATGATGTTTTATCAGGCACGAACATTTCTATACCTTTTGAACTCCCCAAGAGTGAACAATGGGACGTCACTCAGGATGTTAAAGGCAGATGCCCTAATATCTGCTCAGATATACTCGGTACTCTAGGACCCGACTTGCATTTCGACTCGTACGGAGTTGCTGGTACCTCTTCAAATCTCCAGTCGAAAGTATATCATGAAAAATCCAACATCTTCTTTCATATAGGGCTTTTATTACCGCTGATGACAATTTCATCATATCAGTACGCTCACTATGCCGTGGGCTCTAATCCTGATGCAATGGCTCTTTTCATTGCTGTGAGTTCTTGCCAATTATTAGTGAAGTAGTAGGTACAATTATATATACTGGAGGGGAAATTTAGAGAGAGATGCTTGGCAGAGAGACATGGGAGGAGGAGCTGGAAGTGGCCTGTGGCTTACTCGAGAACGGAGGAATTTTCAATAAAGTCACATGCAGATGCCCATACTCTGTGCGGATGTTGTCCATTGTTATGTATTCTCTGGGATGGACAACTCTTGTGTTCATAGTAAAGGAATCCTCGTGAAACTCATGCTTCGTGAACCTCTTCGGGACGGCGGTTCATACACATAAAAGTGAGAATTTAGTGACAAGTCTCTGCTTCTGCGTTTCCCCTGTTTCCAGGCCCCCGTACTCCCAACTCCCATTCAGAGGTTCATCAGCTCTACCTTATTGCCTCCATAAACATCCTCAAGTGCGTTTTTGGTATCTTAACAACACTAGTCCCTCCTCCAGAACCCCTTCCTCAAAACATAAGGCATGTATACTGACACTAAATGTCTGGAACATCCATCGATCGTGCCGCGACAATTCGCTGAGTGGTAAGATTGCCTTCCATACCTTCGGGAATGGGACTTGCCGATGGCAAAGAAAAGTCGAAGCCGCTGTCGCCTGTCTGAAGATGATGTAGGAAGATAGCGATGTCGAACGCGTCAAAGGCTTCCAGTATGTCCTCTGGCTCGTTGATATCGTAGTAGGTGTCTGAACCGCCGGAGATCCTAAGAAGTCTGTAGCCCAGAGCGCTGTGCGTGATTGCGTACTTGACAGAGAGTTCGAAGTCGGAGGAGTTATCCCGGGTTACCGTGAACGTAGACATGTTCCTAGAAACCTCAAAGGTAGTAGTTCCGCCTCTGCCTGATGCAGCAGACTTAGTGACTCTGAACCAATGCTCTCTGCCTCGGCTCACGGCGAACTTGTAGGCACGAATCCCTCCGGCAACATTACCAGTCTTGTAGCTGGACTCTTCCAAACCCACAGGCTCGTAGATGAAGGTTTGGTAGACAGTATAAGTGGTGATCTCTCGCTTGCTATACCGATCGATACGTGTGTCTTGACTAATTATTCTGAAACAATTAGTATCATGGGAGAACTTGATGAAGGTATTGCAGGGTATTACCTTTGCGACATGATCGCTATTCTTCGGGATTGGTACGTGTTTGAGTACAGTCCTGCGCGACATTAGCAAAGGCTCTGCTAGGAAGGATCCAGTTATTTACCTAAGTGTACGAAAACGACGAAGTCGCGCAGAATCGAGAAAGATCCGAGAGACAATGATGAAATCCGGATAACAGTCAGAAGCCGTCAATAAATGTGTAGTTACTGCAGAGAATGTGATTGAGGTAAGTAGCGCGTTGTTGTGGTAAGGAGATTTGTAAAGGCTCGATGCAAAAAAAAAAGAGTTTTCTAGGAGCAAATCAAAGCCGTAAATCAGTTCACCTGTATCTATGCCTACATTCATCTCAACTTTTGGATATAAAGCTTCAAGGTAAAGTCTCTTTAGTTACCTACAGCCACGTACGGCAAATACATGGCTCGCTAATAGCTACACAAGTTATGTATACATTATACAACAAGGGAATTCGATGGCACTATGCAATCACTAGACGAAGAGCTAATTCGGGCTGCGTTGTCAGAAGTTCTCGATTCAAGGTCCACTATCGTTACTAGCTGCATCTAGTAACTTGCATTCCGCTCGAAGTCATAAGTAAGGTTAACTTAAGACAAACTAGCCGCCATGCCTCCTTCAAGCATAAGGAGTTCTGTGAGGGAGCACCCTGAGAGAAAGAATCGAGATCTGAGCATTGTCGTCACTACTTCTCAAGCTTAAGAGACAGCTTGAAGGTTGGAAAAGGTATTTATTGAGGCTGCTGCAGGCAAGTAAACTAAAGACTTGATGTCCCCAAATTGCGTTCATTGGCAGGTAACCGGACATACTGCGCTGGTAACCTCAATCATGATCCTATTCCCACCCCATAAAATACCCATCACCACTAGTCATCATGCTCTGCAACTCTTTCGGCCGTCATTTCTGAAGTGATTTGGGGTTGCTGGGCAACTTGCCTGGCTCTGATGATTGCCATCCTATCCTGCAGGATATCCGGCGGAAGCGTGAAGTCCAAATGGCCAGATAGGGGAGCCAACCTATCGAAGTCCCGCAAGATGTTTGGTGATGAGCTTGCGAAGTCCAAGTCGATATACATAGCTGGAAGTGGGTCTGAGTCATCACCAGATTCTAGACAGTGTAGAAATATGCCCACGTCGAAGGCGTCAAATGCCTCTAGATAATCTTCCACTCCATAGGTCCCCGATTCATCATCACCCCCAAGCACCTTGGCGAGATTGTAGCCAAAGATGTTGTGTGATATCACAAACTTGGCACCGAGTTCAGCGTCTGTGATGGCGTTTCGGGTTACCGTAAACGTGGATCCATTCTTGCGAACTTCAAAAGCCGTGGCTCTGCGCAATCCTTGGTCTGCAGTAACGAACATGGGGACAAAAGTCCGTGCGTTCAGGCTGTAGAACCTCGAAATTAAAACTCTTCACATTAGGACTAAACTATCAACAACTCCAC